CCATTATTTCACAATGAATAATTTAAGCCAACTCAATTAAAATGTGATATTTGTACTCAGCCTGCTTTACATACATTTCATGTCAAAAATTATTTCAATCCCCAAATCTTGACAATAAAGAGCTTTAAATTTATGAGATATGTATTACCATAAGGTATTTTGAACATTTTATACAGAACCTTTTTTTATAATCCACTGTTGTTATGGTAGTGTATGAAAGTTATTATCATGGCTTGTTTATTGTTTTTATTTTTAATACTTTTTTACTCTGCAAAATTGTAAACACTGAATTAGGTGTTAAATTCTCCTTAGTTGAATTTAAGTCAATAAAACTTCTTTGTACAGTCAAAAGACAGCTTTTAAAAATCCACTTTTATGCTTCAAATTTTAATGGTCTTCCCAATTATTCAGAAGGTCCTAATCACATTATAAATAGTGCCTTGCTTAGAGCAGATCTTGTCCTCTTTCTTTCCCTTGTAATATGATGGGTAAAGTAAAAGAAAAAAATAAGAATACAGTAATAACAAAATAGCGATTTATTAGATGACTATTATAAATATGAATCCACTAGCTATAGATCACACAATAATCTCTGACATCTCTGATTAAAGTGCAGAACATCCTGCCTTTTAACTGCTTGAGGCTCAGAGAACTGTAAAAATTAAAAATGGCATCCCAGTTTCATTTATTGTTCCTGAGAAGAGTCAGAGCCTTTGAAACGGATGCAAAAGGAGAAGAGACATTAAACACATGCAAGCAACTATGAAGAAAAACATTGGCCAGGGTGGCAGCCAAGTTTTGAGTTATATTTAACATCTTTGGACTATATACCCTTTCTGACGATTAAATCAATAAAGTCCTTTGCTGGGTATAGACATTAATATTTATTTAGTGTTTTAATATTTTTATACTGTCACCAGAAACAGAATTATTCTCTCATACTGAAACACTGAAATATTAACGTGTAGTCAGTAGGATCTGGCAGTTCATATTCTCCACCCTAGTGCTTCTGTCATAAAAAGAAACTTAGAAAAACTTCTGAAACTGAGGAAAATTACAATTCTATTTAAAAATACAAACTTAAGGTAGTAAGTCTCCCTAATCAAAACTGCATTTGTGAAGCTCATGAGAATTTTAGTCATCATTAAAAAGTGGATAAAGGAGATTAAAATGCTTTCAGACATATTTAGTAAAGTCCTGTCCTTATGACATGAGGGACAGTAATTGAAATTGCCAGTATACAGGAGGAGAAAATACCAGCTTGCTTGGGTGACAGTTCCATCCTTGCTCCTAATGAATATGTCTAAATATGGACATTCTAAAAAAAAAATCTCGTTCCAGTGCAAGCAAACCATGTAATGCAGATACATTCTGATTAGTAAGTGTTGGGTAACATTCAATAACTCACTTTGACGAAGAAGACATGAGCCAAGATCTATGTTCTTTCTTGCCCTACCAAGGTCTTGCAGCATTCCTGACCAACACACTCAGTCCTGCATGCAGATAATAAAACTTGTGCTCTTTCTCAGGATACCCAATAGCCTGACCACTACAGAAGGAAATATGCTTTGGAATTTTTTAATTCTAATGCACTACTTCTCACTCCTGGGCTAATTTCTACAAACGTTAGCACAGACCACTTACAAGTCCTTCTATTTAAAGTGAATATTAGCCACAAAAGCTGTGTCTATACTAACAAATTAAGCATGGATGGGTTTGTTGACACTATAGCCAGATGGCAAGGAACAAATCACATCCATACTATGAAACTCTTTATCCCCCTAAAACAGGGTGCTCATATTCAACAGCTCATTATAAATGCTCCTTCACACACAAAAACTCTGAAGTTACACCAGGAATTGTTCGGGATAGTGCTAGATGGTACATTTGGCCAAAAGTCCACGGTAGCAATCATGCTAAAATAAATTAGGAATATAGGTGATAGTGTTCCACTATCTGGGAATATTCTATGATAATGCTTTTAAAGTAAAAGAGGGTAGATTTAGACTAAATATAAGGAAGAAATTTTTTAGATTAAGGGCAGTAAAACACTGGAAGAGGTTGCCCATACAGGCGGTAGATGCCTCATCCCCGGAAACATTCAAGATCAGGTTGGATGGCACTCTGAGCAATCTTATCTAGTTGATGTCCCAGCTCATTACAGGACAAATGGACTAGAGGCCTCTGGAGGTCTCTTCCAACCCAAACTATTCTATAATTCTGTGATTCACTATTACTCCTAGTGAATATGTAGACTGAAAAATTTGAATTTAGCCAACAATACTGGAACTGAACCCACATATGAGACACTGAGTGAGCAAGTTGTCCTGCAAACAGATATTACTGTCTTCTTGAGTTTATCTCTGCCCAATGACAGCAATTGTCTCTTCTGAAGCAGAAACACAGAATAAATCTATCTTCTCAATTTTCCTGAAAAGAATGATACAAACTCAGTCTTTGGCATGAAACAACAGGAAGTGCAGTAGGGGGAACACTCCGCAGTAGAAGAACCCAGGGTTTTCTTTATTTTCTCATTAGGTTTCCTGAGCTATCATGCTATCTATCAATCTCTTGAGAATCTAATTGCTTCAAACCCTATTAGCCTTCCCTTTTGCCATTCAACTCATCCTCCAAGGCAATCAGATTTATAACAACAGCAGCATGTGAGGTACTATAGAAGGGAAGAAGTTTGAAGGTGAACACAAAACACCAGAGTAACTTTTTTTAACATTGCCTGTGCTTCAGGAATATCCATGGGGCTTGTACAAATGTGTCTAGAAACACTCACTGCTAAAATGGAGATTTTTATGATGCTGACATAAAAGCTGAACAAAACCTTGAGACTCTACAGATGTTCAATGCAGTTGTAGTAATGGGAAGCTGTTTTTCTTTGTTTTACTTGCTTTTATATTTAGTGAAACCATAGTTAAGTCCTATAGTACCTGCTGAAGGAAACTAGGACACAGTGAAGATTAATACTCCAATGTCTGAAGCTGCAATTTCATTGCAACGATTTTTCTACTTCTTTTTATTATTATTATTTACAGCCTTTAGTCAGCTAAAGAACCTGTTAGAAACATTCAACACTTTATAAGCCTGACCATATTTACAGACAATAAAAGAATAGCTGAATATGAATAAAGTGATAAAGAAACACATAAATGATATTCTTTCTTATAGCTGTTAAACTGAAATTGTCTCTCTGCCTCTCTGTTAGTATAGACTGAGAGTGAAGATCTACACCTCTTCCCAGACAGTCTGGAGAGCTGGATGATAGGAAAAAACACCATTCTTGTACCCTGTCCTTCTACACAACAGTGCCAGGAAGGCATTGGTTTAGGTTTTATTACTTTGTGGACTGACTCCTTGGCTGTGGTAACTTCTGTGCACAGCTGAGAAGAGAAAAAAAGACCCCCATGCATTGGTATACAAGAATAGGGACACAGGAGAAGAGGGAAAAATAAAATAATGGCTAAAAATGAGTGAATGAGAACAGCATCAATAAGGGCAAAAGACTATGAGAAATGAAAAGGACGACCTTTAAATCACAGAAAACTATAAGGCATACATTCTGTACATTTCTATTCAAAGAGTACACTTAAATCTTTGGATAAGTCACAAGGAGGAGTCATCCTGGCACTAACAGGTTTATTTCTCCATCAAAGAAGAGCTGATGCTTACTGAATCAGGCCCAAGGCCTGAAGCAATCAGAGGTTACCAGAGAAGGTGCACGTAAGAAGGGAAATTCTTCATCGCTCTCAAAGTCTGACTGTGCTCTGAGCATTGTTCATACACACCCTCAGTGCAATGTCTTCAGAGAGTGAATAACTTTTCCTGTTACTTCTCTCCCTACCTGACAGCTTCTAAGGAGTCAATATTTGCATACGCTTGGTAGCTAAAGGACATACCACAGTGATGGGACATGTTGCATTTGGGATGTTCTACCCCTTGATGAAAACTCCAGATCTCACAGCCAACGCAGCAGTAAAAGAATACCTTTCACATTTCTGTTCAGATTGCTAGCAAAGAGGGTTGCTTTTCATACTATAAACTTGGTTTCTTTTTAACTCTCAGATGTAAAAAGATTCTGAATGTTATTGAGCTGTTCCATCTGTAATCTGCCTCCCTAAGGAAAATATACTGCACCTATGCGACCTACAAAACCTAGGAAATGTACCATTTATGTCAGTAAAAGGTCTTCCCCGTGGGAAACACTTTTTAAAAATATGATTTTTTCATACTTCTTTTTGATACTTGTCTGCCTCTGCCTAGATAAAACTCCAGGAAAGTCCAAATTGCTTTTTACATAATTTTGATCCAAAAAACCCAAACCCAGCATACATACAAAAGCACTTCAGATGAATTGAAAGACACAATTTCTTTTCATCTCTTTTTCATCTCATTTGAGAAATGTTGAGCACATTTTTCACTGTTTTTAAAGCAGAGAGAAGACCAGATAAATTGCTGAATATTAATTAATGATATTAAAGAAATTAATGGAAATTAATGAAAAATGATTAATTAATTCAGAATTAAAGATTAAAACCAATGTACACTAATTGGCATATTCAATTTGCTACTCATAGTCTTAACTTTCTAGGCATATTGCATTATCTCTTTTCATTCACTACAGTGAAGGCAAACCGAAGAAATTGGAAAAAATAAGACATATCTACATATTTGAAAACAACTGAATTCATCACTGTTTCTTCAGGTTCTCATTTAGAAAATGAAATGTTATGCTGGCTATATGTGACATTAAAGTGAAGCTATAAACCCCATATAGGATTATGGAGAAATAAAGTAGTTTCCTAGCCAAAATTTATTTCCAATTTTGCCATGCCTTCTAGTTTGGTTCTGCATCTATTGACACCGAGACACCTGATATTTGACTTCAAAGGGAAAAAATAGATCTTTTTCTGCAAGGTGGTCAGTGTTATGTTCTGGTTTGACAACTGGTCTGTCGTAGTGACATTATATTTTATATTTTCTCATCATACCTTGAGAATTTTGCACATTATCTCATAAACTGAAAATGTTTTCTCAGCTCGTGTCCAATCCCAGGTTGTGACCTTTGAAAAAAAAACACAACAAAACAAGATACAAAATGAAGAGAAATAGAAATTGTAATTTTTGTTTATTTCAATAATTCAGTTTATAAACATAAATAAAAATATATCCCTAAACTATTTACATCCAGTGCAACATATACAGAAAGACCAAGCACTGCCTCAGAGCAATAACTACCAGTGACCATCGTGCTCTATCCGAGCAATGCTTAGAAGATGTCCTGTCTGCCTCCCTCTACTTACAATGCAGTGCCTTCGCATGAAGGCTGCTCCATGCCAAATGATGGCACTTCCTCTGGGAACAGGTGGGGGCTGCACTGAGATCCTGAGAGGATACAGCCCATGAATTCATCTCACAGAGCCAGAACCCTGACTATAAGATGGCATGTTTCTCACCACTTTCCTCCTTGTAATTGCATACCACTACTTGCTCCCCGTCACCTACACTGTTTGAAAATTCATAAAATCAGTCTCCAACCTTGCTGCGTCCCAGACACTTATCCCACGTGCCTTGAAATCCAGAGGGGAAAAAGCCAAACCATGAGACAACAGAGGCAGATACATATTTTATTTTTAAAAAATATGAATCTGCTCCTAAATTCTAACAAACTAAGATTTGAAGAATACTCTATTTTTCCTCTTTGTCTTGGGATTTGACAATTGTTTTTACCTGCCTGCGCACACACACACACAAAAAAAGGGCAAGATAAAAGAATTAAATAAAATCATGGAAGGGTAAGTTTTAAGACTTAAATAAGACAGAGAGGGATAGATGAATATATTCAGTAAGGGAAGAGTCAAGACCAAATTGCAACAGTCTATAAATAACTTTCCAAGGAAACCAGAAGAAGGAAAACAGGAAATATCCACAGTCTCCAAATACTGAAGAAGGCACATAGTAGAATGAAATTGAGGTTATGAAAGAAAAATAAACTTAATGGCAAGACATTTTGAACAGCAGCCCACCTCCAAAGAAAGACAGTTGTATTACTAAAATTTTTTGGCACAATGAAGTTGATAAAAACATAAGTTATTTGTTCTACAAGATTAAAAAATAAAACTTCTTTGAAAAATATATCATAAAACAGTATCCACAGAACAGGAAGAAAATATTACATAAGACCAACTTATCTCTTCTCTAAAGAGAAAATAATCATTAATATATACAGCATCTCTGAGAAGCATCTATGTGTTTGAATGCCTTGGCATAAAACTTTCTTGATCCAAACTATATTTCTGTTGTATGAGAAAATGCTCTCTCTAACTACTCTTTAGTTATAAACATTATTGTAGTGGAAACTCCTTTGAGGAAATCACAGGAGAAATAAAAAGTTCAGAAATAAAATGTTACAGTTCCTCTTCTATTAGAATTTTATTTATTTGTAGTCATCCTCAGAAGCAGTTTTCACTATCTTACTGAAGTATGCATATTCAGCCATAATGCTACTCTTTCTGCTATGGACAAAGAGCTCAATTTCTTACCATGAGCAGAGGAAGGGGAAGAGGAGTCTTACTGCAGCCCCACTGAGACTCAAACACCAGCCACACAAGCTGAAGTCATATTGCCCCATCAAGAAAAGTAGTTACTATGGCTGCTGAAGTACAAAGCCATTTGAAGTTATGTTTAAAAACTTACTGTAGGCTCCATATGTTGTGGGAAAATATAAGAGCTCCCCTTTCTCCCCTAGTTCCTGCTTTTGTTTGTACTTATAAAGGGACTTCTTTCAGGTCAAAGCAAAACTTTTTCTATATAAAGATATGTGCAAAACAAAAGCAATTGTAGAAGTAAGACACACATAGAAATTGCTTCACCTGCTCACTTTTAATATTCTAATTTAAAAGACTGAGTAGCAAAAAAAAGGTGTGGGCTGCTCTTTCTCAGACTTGCTGAGATTTTCAACTATAATGTTTAAGAAACCGAAACCCACCGGACTTGACACAATTAATAACTCAAAAGGATTAAATGTACCAGGAAATAACAGAAAAAAATGTAAAAATTTAGTTTTGTTTAAAACTTTCGAAATGCAAATAAGAAACATAAGGATTGCTCCTTTATCTGATCACAGAAAGTAGAAGTAATATTGATCAAACAGATTAAAAAAGATGCAGGGGGAGGCTGCTGATAGACACTGCCTAAACACATGCTTCCCTAATGTGTTAGACTTCAGTAGAGACTGGGGAAATACTTTCATTTGATTTTCTGGTTAAAAAAGTTGGCAGCATATCTCTGTTCAGAAAACAAATTCATCCAAGGAGATTACACTGAAAATATAATTAAACCTGCTTTTTCTAACTACGCTTTATGCATCGCATAAATAGAAGCTCTGGAACTTTGTCAATAAAACTTTGTTCATCATCTTTTGTAATCGCTGGAAGAGACAAACATATATACATAGAGAATAGCAAATAGAACTGTATCTGCAGAAATTTGCATGTAGAAAATAGGCTTTTAGAAGTCCTTTTAAAAGGCCTACTGCAGTCTTTGACAAGAAGAAATTTTGCTGGGCATATATGTGTACAATTATTGCATACATTACTTGTTGGGGTTGGAACTTGATGACCTTTAAGGTCCCTTCCATCCCAAACTATCCTATGACTATATTTTTAAGGTAGCTCTACATTAACCCTTCCTCTGTTTGTCCTGTAAAAAGAATGTTTATCATTCTGCTTCCCTCCTACTCCATGGAGAGAAAATACTTTCTCTATGTTTGAACTGGTTTTCTATTTTAGACTAGAAACTAGATTCTGGCAAAACAAAATCATGTTGTGCTCACAGCTCAGCTGAAGCAAAACCTATAAAAACTCAAGGATGGCCTTGTCTCATACAACAGCAGCTTGCCAAATTTTTCCTTAATCACATCACTGTAGTGCATATGAACTTCTTCCCCCCACTCCTGTTAATCACACCCCATTACCCATTTACCCCCTCAAAGCATATTACTCCTGGAAATTTATGATTCTTCAGTAGTTCCTTCCATAGTGCTTACAAAAGAATAATCTTCCTCTTTTGTATTGAACAGGAGCTCTCAGCATTTGATTCTCCTTCTATCTAGTGCCTAGAGTGGAGGTAGCTTTATTTGATAGGCAGCAAATGCTCTAGTAGGTCTGCCAAAGCTAGGACAGCTTTTCAATTAAGGTGCTTGATAGCATAATCTGACCTTTTTAATCTGATCCTGAAAAATATCCTCCAACAAAAGACAAACTGCCATTATTAGCAATGGGACAGCCAAATTTCCATACTAATGTACAAGCATTGAACACCAGAAGTTTTCAGTTCATACCTATTTTCACATGGTTTTAAACCTTTTGCTAAAACCCCACAAACAGTTACTGATGGACAATATAAAGATTTTGAAGCTGGCTTTGAACTACCTCAGGAACAGGTTGCCCAGAGAGGTGGTAGATGCCCCACACCTGGAAATATGAGATGTCAGATGGGACTGGGCTCTGAGCAACATGTTCTAGTTGAAGCTGTCCCTGCTTCCAATCCAAACTATTCTATGATTCTATGATTTAGGCAGGAAGGAGATGCAGCTTGGATCTGGCAACACAGGATTTAGCATCGATCAGAAAGGTCACCCAATAAAAAGGATAAATTAATCCACATGACTCTCTCTGCTGCAGGCACGGGATGGCTACTGGGTCCTTAGCTACTGGCTTAAAAGTTAGCTAGAGGATCTTTACAGCAGCTTAGATGTACCATAAAACTGTGAAAGTAAATAGCTGAGCATAAAACAAGAGCTAAAATATTGCCTAGTGTTCCCAGCCAGATTCCAATTAATGTATTTAACCTACATGGTTTTATTTCCTTTCCTGTCTTCCTTTTGGTGTTCCCAAGCAATAAAAAGTTACATTCAGGATGAAATCTGAATACAGCTATATTACCATTTCCACAGCATGCAAAAAACCTTTGATATTTCCCCAAATCTCAGCAGTTTTACTAGACTGATTGTTCAGTTTTAATCTAACCATCTTGCTTCAGGCCTGTTCTGCCTGCCAAAGGAAAATTAAAAGCTCCCTTTTAACAAAAGTAGATTTCTCTTTTATTTTTCTACGTGCTCATTAAAGAGGGGGGAAAGAATTTCTTGTTAGATACCCAATCATCTGATGAACAGTTGTTTTCTATCACCTTTATACCACATATCCTGGAACTTTTCAGTGCTGTAACTTGCAATCCTGTTAGCTCAATGAGTGATATCTCATTGTGAATGCCTTGAACACATTACATGAAATTATTTTATTTAATAACATTTATTCCCACCAAGCATGAGAAATATACTTACTGGAGGTGCTATAAATTTATACAGGGAAGATCCCCTCAGTGCTAGAAACTTTGGTGTGTACATTCGATCCTGAAGGGAGTCTTGTTCCCGTTCTTCCGTCCAGCCCATGTAGACTATCTGACAGAAAAATCAATAGTGTTGACAAATTCCTCAGACACTTTCTTGTACTGCAAATATTTCATGTGATAAACTGATGTCTGTCAAATTTTACATAGCTACAAACGCCGAACCACTGATGCAATATGGTACATTGGCAGTTTCCTTACAATCACATACTTGTATAAAGGGTGTCTGTTAGGCATCCAAAAACAGGAGAACAAATGCTTATTGTACTAGCAACAAGAAAAAACCTAAACTACATAGTTGATGGATGTTAAAGGTCTATTATCTCATTAAAAACCTCCTGAAGTAATTCTACATATTTGCTGACAGACTATGTCAGAGAAATTTAATGCAAATGAAATGTAAGGAGCCACTAGTCAGGAATACCAAATCAAGCAACTGTTGTTACATGGTAATATAGATACAGTCTCCACACACAAGTTCACAGTTACGCCTTAAACAATATGATCTTATGAATTTTATTTCCAACTGCTGACATACTGACATGCTGCATTTTTTTTACCCTCTGAAAATCCCTATTTAGGAGTTTTGAATCTCCTTGCTTAGTAACAGCAAATTAACAGACTGTTTTCAGTCACTATTTTGAACAGGCTTCATCTACAGCTAAGAAGAAACCAGCATGCTGTAGACTCTTACCACTAGTTGCAGATCTTCTGACACAGATGTCTGAACTAGAACTTATTCCAACTCATTTTAGAATGTAATTCCCTACCTATCCATCTATTATGTTTGAGTAATTTAATATCAAATCCTTATAGAGTAGCAGAGCATGAGTCACCACTGTGCCAGCTTCTGGAGGACCACAGAACAAGGAGTAGACACATCATGGAACATTTGATTTATAACCATACCATTAGTAATAAAATACAATTTCAAGTGTGCACTGGTACACTATTGCTATGGAAAATAGATCAACCCTTATCTCATACAGCGTTGCTAATAGAATTGTTCTATTTTTAAATATCTCTGTGAAATTGATTTCTACATTAACTAGGAAAGCATGGGCATTCTCTGTCTTAAATGTCAGTAATGATCACGTAAGGAAAACAGTCCAGGTAAAATAGCTAGAATTATATAAACAGCCAACAAGTTAGTAAGTTTACCAATGGTATAAACACACCTAAAATTAATTTTGTACTGCATGTTTTATCCTTTCAGATTTTGTATGCCAAGTACTCTGTGATTTACACAAGTTTACCTCAGTAGTATTGGGAAGACTATTTTCATCAACAGTTCTTCATGGAATATACATTAAAATAAATGGTGGGTATGTTGTTTTTCATTTATTTTCTTCTTTTTTTTTTCTGATGGATTTTATTGTAACACACTGAAAATTAATGGTTTTTTCAAATCCTCTTGTATGAAATCAACACTACCACTCTCTATCAAAGTTTATTGGATATTTTATGCTCTGTTAACAAAGACAGTGAGAAGGTCTATTCCACTACCACTTAGAGTGAAACCTCAACATTTAATTATTTTTCCAATAGCAAACACTAAACCTGTCACATATTCTCAGGTTCAATGAAGAACATGTGTTGAAGTATATGCTGGTTTTGTGACTAAATGAGTTTATGAAAGTCAAAAAGAAGACAAATCTGTGCCACAACATTCAAGAATCAAAAAGAGTGCTCAACACTATATTGTCATAACTAAAAAGCCATGTTCTCTAAAATCTCATTCCTTCCTGAGTGAATAAATAGTCTGAAGTAAAAAACCCACAAAACAAACAAGCAACTGACAGGTACCATAAAAAAAACTTGAAAATGTTTCAATTCAATGTCTATTCATATTTCTCATGTTTTGTATGTTACCCTTAAGTATGGATCCCCATCCCTCTGACTTGGCTGGAATCTGTACATTGCAGTGACTGAGAGGGGCTACACAGGAAAGTTAAATTAGTATAAAAAATTGTACTACTATGTGCAGAACTTTGGTACATTTTCCTGTCTGTAGCTGAAAGAAAATGTTCTCTAATTTCTAGGAATTGAGATATCTATGCTTTTAAATTAATCAAACTGAATTAATTTGGTTTCATCTTGATTTGTTTCATTAAAATTGGACACACAGCAAGATATCATCTTGCCTGATGGTATTTAATATCACTGTAACACTGTACGCAATCTCTTCTTAGTGTTTTTCTTTTTCACATTCCTCATTTCTACTTCTACTATTCATCAGAATAAAAGGATAGTCACTCAGTGCAGATGTATTGATATTTCACATTTGACTGACTCAATGCTAAAGCACCCATGAAATTTAAGGCAATTGCTCCTCTAGATGTTTCTCCCTTGCCTCTGTAGATCATGAGGAAAAATTAGATTGATTTTCCAGACAACCTGCTGTCCCAAAGTTTTGTAAACAAAAAAGAATTTCTCCCTCAGACTCAATATCTACTATTCAACATGCAGAAGAACTATTTAGCAAAAGGTGTATGACTATAATTAGGAGCACATAAAGTTGAGTGAATGTGCATATCCACATATGTGGACGAAAACAGCATGGGCTAGATTCTGGAAAACAAGGCAAAATGGAACAAATACTTGCTAACTATTTTAATAGATAACTGTGATAACTTATGTGTTCCTGAAGTGGTTTCAGTTTATCTAAACACATTGAATATATTAACTTTAATAAAATATTGCAATTTTTGCGTAAGGAGGCTGAAAACTTTTCTAAGAAAAAATAAATTACATTTTTGAGACATATATATTATTGGTAAATGTTCTGACTTCTGAAATAGCTTTGATTATGAAAAACGTAAAGAAATCTATGAATTTGGAAAGGGATCTTAACTTTCCAAAGTCATAGTTCATGTGTATATAAGAACTGAAATAGTGGACAAATATGAAATTTGACTTGTGAGTTTTGGAACATATCTCAGTTTCTTCTGCACATATGGACTTGGCACACATGGAATTCCATGAGATACTGAAATTTCAGAAATTTCATTTCTGAAAATGTTTAAAACCACAGACACATGCTGAGTGGAAATTAATGTTAATCACAAATAGGAAGTGCATAGCATGCTCCTTTGCAAATTTAAAAATCTACTTAATTTTTTAATCTTTGCAAGATTTTTTTGAGCCCTTATAAAACTGCTGACTGTTATCAACAAAGGTGTTGGTGAAAACAGATTTTATTTATGATAAGTCTCCACTTGAAATATAATATTTTGCACTCCTGGTTTCTAACTTACCTGAAGCAGCTCATTCTTCAAAATCAAATGGTGACACAAATTAGTTAACTTAGTGGCTGCTGGTTCAGTAACAAAGATTCAATAAATCAAGTACAGTTTAAAAATAAATCTATATTGAAATGATAAATGAAATAGGATAATTCCTTCAGTCAAAAATCCATAATCTCATAATTTAATATGTACTTAAGTCACACATAGATCCTAATCAAGTAAGATAAATTGCCATATTTTATATCAGTCCAATATATTGCTAAAAATGACTTAAATAGCCTTGAGTTTCAGAGACAATTTTTCAGAGCTTTTACACGGATTTTATTATATTTTAGGAAGAATAGCAAGATAAAAATAAAAGAAAATTTCCCCAAAATGAAGTGTGAAATGTATATGACATTAAAGAAATTAGATAACTCAAAGATCAGAACAGATGTGCTGGCAGCTTTTTATCTTGGAAGTCTGATACTCATACTCACATTATGTGAAACCATGATCTAGGGCAACAGGAAGAACATGGAGTCAGAAGACGAATATATCAGACAACACAGGGGGAAATGATGAGAAGCTCAGACAATGCTCTCTACCCTGGTTTGAATATGGTTTGTCGGTTTTAAAATAATTTTCTCTATATCCTAAAAATTCATTATAGTCAATTGTTAGCAAAAACCCAATAAAAACCACACTGGAAATGTGGGAATAAAATGAAACAGTAAGTGTGATAGTAATATAATTATTGACAAAACCAGTTCTGCCTATAGAAGGTTTAGGATTTTTATGCGAATTAAGAAGTTTTTTTCAAAGTCAACAGAAGAACTAATCACATACAATTTTGAATGAATGATAGAAAAAATTTGCTCTATTGTAAATACAGTCAAAATGTCTCCTAGCCTATTTTTAAGGTTTGTGACAAGCCTGGCAAACTTTAAAAAAAAACTACATTTTTTTTTAAATTCCTATGAATAATTTTCTTTCTTCTTCACAAAATAAAGTCCACTAAATCACAGCAGTCTACATATGAAAAATAACCTAAAAGAAACAGAAGATAGTTGGCAATGAAAAGCTATCCGATTAGATTTAAACTAATTTAAAACCTTATTTATTTCATTATGTTTTATGGCAAATAAACACACGGCCAGTATTTTCTAGAAAATTATGCCACGAAATTAATAGCAAAGGAATAGTTTTGGCAAACATAACTTTTATTGTTCCAAATCGCAAAATTCAGAAATGAACTATTTTTGGGTTGAATTGTGGATGGATGTGGTCTTGGATAACCTGCTCTAGGTGACCATGACTGAACAGGGAGGTTAGAAAAGATGACCTTGAGAGGTTCCTTATGACCTGAAACACTTTGTGATTCTGTGAAAGAAAACTAATCATAAGTATATAAAAGCAGAAAATGATTGCTTGCAAAGTATTTTCCTGTTTCAAATCTCCTCAGTTATATCACCCCCCTTTCTATCCTATATGCTTTAGAGCTATAACCAACAAAGATCACCTCCATATTTTTGAACCACCTAACTACAAATGGACTAGTCAATCTAAAATTGCACATGTATTGCACATAGATTAATTGCCTTCTGGGTAAGAACTCATATTGTCATCTTGCTACCAGACCAAGACTAAGTATAGGTTATCCATTTGGCTTTGTCCTGTTTGATTTTTTAAATGATCACACAAAAATTAATGGAATACTATGAGGTTTTAAAGTAAATAGTATCAGGGAAAGGAGAAAATACTTGTTAGTTATGGAAGCTGATTTTTCCCTTACACTCCAGATAACTGAAAAGTGTTATGAAAG